TGCTAAGTGAAATAAGCCAGGCAGAGAAATACAAATATCATGTGATGTCCCTTATATGTGGAATCTAAACACAATAATCTGATGAACAAAATAGATTCTGTCACATAGAAGCATGGAAAAGACTGATGAATCTCAGAGGGAAAGTGGGTGTGGGTGGGTGTGTGGGAACATATTAACTGAAGAATTTATAGGTACATATGCGTTACCCATGGACACAGACAACAGCGTGGTGGAGGTCTGGGGTGGGGAGTGGGTGTGGGCTGGAAATGGTCAGTGGGGAAAAAGAGGACATTTTTAATATTTGGTTCAATAAAAAAAAGAAAGAAAAGAAAGAAATGGGACTACATCAAACTCAAAATCTTCTGCACAGCAAAAGAAGCCATCAACAAAACAAAAAAGCAACCAACAAAATGGTATTTCAAACAATAGCTCTGATAAGGGGCTAATATCCAAAAGACAAAATGAAGAATTCACCCAGCTCAACAACAACAACAAAAAACAAACAATTTGATTAAAAAATGGGCAGAAGACCTGAATAGACACTCTTTGAAGGAAGATACACAGCTGGCCAACAGATATATGAAAAGATGCTCAACATCACTAGATATAAGGGAAATGCAAATCAAATCACAATGAGATGCCACTTCATACCTGTTAGAATGGCTATTATCCAAAAAATAACAAGTGTTGGAGAGGATGTGGAGAAGAGGTAACCTTCTTACACTGCTGGTGGGAATGTAAACTAGTTCAGCCACTATGGAAAAGAGTATGGAGGTTCCTCAAAATATTAAGAATAGACCTACCATCAATCCTTCTTCTGGGTGTCTACCTGAAAAGTTTGATAACATTTATTTTATAAACGTAATGTACTCCTATGTTCATTGTAGCATTAATCACAGTAGCTGAAATATGGAAACAACCTAAGCGTCCTTTGATGAATATTTGGATAGTGAAGATGTGGTATATGTATACAATGGAACACTACTCATCCATAAAAAGATGAAATATTGCCATTTGCATCAAAATGGAAGGATCTTGAGAAGACTGTGCTAAAGAAAATAAGTAAGACAGAAAAGGACAAGAACTGTATGATTTCACTCTTCTATGGGATATAAAACAAAAAAGCAACAAAAGAACAAGCAAAACAAATAAAAGAACAATAAACAAATGAATGGATGCAGTCAACATAACGGTGGTTATGAGAAGGGGAGGGATTTGGGGGGTGAGTAAAGAAGGTAAGGGGGTAAAATACATGGTGACAAAAGCAGACTAGAATTCAGGTTGTGAGCACACAATAAAAGGAAATTCTTCCATTTGAAACAACCTTGATCACATTATGCTAATGTAGATAAGTCAGACAGAGAACAGAGAAAGACAAATAGTATATGGTATCTCTTATCTTAATCTAAAAAACCCCTGAAATTAAAAAAAATCATTAAACTTATTGGGGGGAGATTGATTGATAAAATTATATAAGTTTCAAGTGTACAATTCTATAATACAGCATCTATATATTGTATTGTGTGTTCATCACCAAAAATCAAGTCCCCTTCTGTTACCATTTATACTCCCTTTATCCTCTTCTACCTACCATACCCCACTTTTCCTTTTTAAAACAATATTTTTATTGATTTTTTAGAGAGAGAGGAAGGTAGAGAGAGACACACTGATTGGCTGCCTCCTACATGCAGCTGGGACTGGGAATCGAACAGGTAACCTTTTGGTGCATGGCAAGATGCCCAACAAACTGAACCACACCAGCCAGGGTCCCCTTTCCTTTTGGCAATCAACATACTATTATTTATATCTATGAGCTTTTTGTCCTTAATACTTTCGTGGATCTGGAGCATATTTTGATAAGTGAAATAAGCCCATCAGTGCCCTGGCCGGTGTGACTCCATTGGTTGGGTGTTGTCTTGTGCACCAAAAGGTTGCTGGTCTGATTCCTGGTCAGGAAACATGCCCAGGCTGTGGGCTCAATCCCCAGTAGGGGGTGTGCAAGAGGCAGCTGACTGATGTTTTGCTCTCAGATCAATGTTTCTCTCTCTCTCTCTCTCTCATCCTCTCTCTTCCTTTCTCTCTAATAAATCAATAAAAATAAAATAAATAAAAATTAATTTGCAAAATTAAGCCCATCAGAGAAAAGCAAATACCATATGATTTCACTTGTATGTGGAATCTAATGAACAAAATAAACTAACAAACAAAATAGAAAGACTCATAGAGTCAGAGAACAGACAGCTGTCAGAGGTGTAAAAAACTCTGAAATCTTAAAATTAGAGAGTAAAATGGTGGTTACAAGGGGTTATAGATTGAGAGAATGAGAGAGATGTTTAAGTGTACATACTTGCAACTAGTAGATAAGTCCTGGAGGTCTAATACACAGTACAGTGATTATAGACAACAAAACTGTACTATAAACATTAAACTTGCTAAGAGACTACATCTTAATTGTTTCCAACAAGTAGAACAAATTATAATTATATGATATAAAAGAGGTTTTAGCTAATGCTACAATAACAGTTATTTTGCAATTATAAATGTATCAAATCAATATGTTTTGAGCTTAAACTTATACAATGTTGCATGTCAAATATATCTCAATAAAAATTGTCAAAAAATGGTAACTATGTGAGATGATGGATGTGTTAACAAGCTTGATTGTGGTAATCATTTCAAATATACAATGTATATGTATAGCAAATCATGCTATACACCTTAAATATACACAATATTTATTTGTGAATTATATCTTGATAAAGCTGAAAAAACACAATATTTAATTATCCATGCCAGAACTTTAGGGCCCAAATAATTAATTGGGCTATTAAAATACTGCAACTGTCGTAAGTCTGCATTTCATTATATCATTAATTTAGTAATACAACCACAAAGTTAATTTAGCCTGAAAAAACAACAACAAAGCTCTTCTCCTTTCTGGAAATTTACTGCATATATAACCATGAATAAAGAACAGAGAGCAACCTTGTTGAAATTGTTGCTCCCACACTGCAGTCACACAGGATGTGAATCAATTATGGGTCTCATCAGCAAAATCACAAATTTTTTCATGTCATAGAAATTTGAAAATCATTAAACAGTGAGTATTAAATCCATAAATGTCAAAAGCTTGCTATACTTCTATTGTTGCACTTATACTTGTGTCATTGAGCACATTACACTGATGATACCATGAACTTCTTGGGAATAGGTACTCTGTTTTGTCTTTATTTTTACACTAAATTTGGCCTAACACAAAGAAACCACTCCAAAAACATTTGTGGAATTAAATTGCTTCTTTAATTGGTCTCTCTGCTCCTAGGCCATCCTCCTCTCTGAAATTCTGCCAGTTCTTTCACAAAAATACATCAATGATAATGTAATTTAAAAATATATATATATGTCCATTGATTTTAGAGAGAAGAAGGGAGAGATAGAATCATCAATAGTGGCTCATTGATGGCTTTCCTCCTGCATGCCCTCTGCTGGGGATGGAGCCCGCAACCCTGGGCATGTGCCCTGACCAGAATTGAACCTCCATCTACTGGACCCTAGGCCAATGCTCAACCCCTGAGCCACGCCTGGCTGGAAATGATAATGTAATTTTATTGTCCCAAAACCTTTAATGAGCTTTCATAATCTATTTCACAGGACAATGTCCACACACCCTGTCTGGGCATATATGGACCTTCAAACCCTGCCCTTAGGTTACATTGTCAGTCTCACACCCAGCCTCCCCTCTTCACACACTTTCTTCTCAAGCCTTACTAGTTGTTCCTAGAACACCTTGGATTTTCATTACTCTATGCCCTTGCAAATGCTGTTTCCTCTGTCTAATAGTCCGTCCACTCTCATCTGCCTGGCTAACTCATATTTAGTATTAAAGCTCAGCATAAATATCACTACTTTGTAGCTTTTCCTGATCCCTCTCAGAATTAATGTCTCCCCCATTTGTTTTTCCTATGTCAATATATTTATTTATTCTGAAAATGGACTAAGTAACTCAGGGGGAAGGGTAGAAGAGACAGAAGGTGGAAGCGCCCTGCCAATGGACTTAACCAAGCAGCGACTGCAGCTTTATGTGTAAAGCATATTGTTTAAGCAGCAGTGGGAGGGTGAAGCTGCATGACCTTTAAGTCGAGAGATGCTAAGTGGCATCCTTCACACAGTATTTACTTGTGATCAGGTACGCTTGAGGGGTGCAGGGTGCAAAGAGAAAGAGAGAAATAGGGCTCAGAGAAGAGATGAGCGTGGACACAGTGCAGCAAGAGCAGATGGGCAGATCCATATTTCTTCTGCTTTAGTTTCTAGCCCTGCATCTAGCGCCGTAGAAAGTGGGTGTGAGAGGAGGAAAGGGGAGGGCCTGTGCTCTCTCTGAGCTT